CACAAATTCATTATGCAAATGCATGAATAATATATGAATGTATTATATACACATGATTATCATGCAAATAAATATGTAAATACACAAATATGCATACAAGTGGGAAGGTACATATGTGAACACGCAAACATATAAGTACTCGTGCAAATGTGCATATACACATGCATATATATCATACATACCCATTGCATATGTATGACTACCATACAAACACATTGTGCAAAATGCATTCAAAAGTATAATCCCGCATGGGCCTCGACGAGCATGATGTATGCACACACGTGACATCGGAGGATACTGCACGGGTCAATAAATAAACCCAACATCGAGCCCGATCCTTATATGTGAATAGATAAGAGTCGAAATGGCTTGAACTGTCAAACAAATATACGGTCGCAGCACCGACTGAGATATTTATTTTATACGTTAATACTAGGCCTTGAAGGTCTATTAAAAAATCACTAATACAGGCATAAATACAACGACATACTCGATCCTCTATCGAAAAGTAGACATAGTCAACAATGTCCGACCAATAAAGCAAGATTACCCGTAATACCCTGATGATGACGTTGTTGATATAAAATCTCAACCGAAGGGGACCTTAAACATTCAAAATGCCTCCAAATTTCCAAAAAATACATTCAATTGATCTTAACATATTCACGAACAATATAAATATTTAAGGTTGAAACAAAACACCTAAATACTTAAAGTAAAATACCCATTCACCCTCCGCAACAGTCTGCCGAGATGTACAAGTTTGAAAGTCACTCCAGCTCACAAAAAGAAAATGTTTGGTTGAGAATATCACTAGGATTCATTCTTAATTCATCTCTTGCCAGCAAGGACGTAGCACGTCCTCTAATTGGTGGTTTCGTCACTAAATGACACCACATGTAAATGGTTATGATCGAGATCCTCTGATCGGGTGATTTTGTCTCCAAATGACACAATTAAATTATGGTCATGGTGAGAGCCTGTATGTTTCCCAACAGCTTCAAATCCTTGAGTAATGAATCAATAAGTTATGATCGATAGGGCATAAAGCTCTATGTTAACTAAGGTGGATTCAAAATTTGTCATATGAGACAGACATTTACCCCAAGTCTGTAAGGTATTCTTAGACGAAGCAACTTATGGCTGGCGATAAGGTTCTTTATATCAGGTTGGGTTGACTATCTCCTCTGATAAAGTAGACTAAGGACCATTATGGCCCGGGATGACAGAACTATGGGATCTTGATCAGTTCTATCATCATTCCCCTCACTATTCGCTTTAAGTGCGAGGTGGTAAATTTTTTATTTTAAATATTAAATTTTGAAATACCTAAACATGCTGCTACAGTGCTATTACATGTCAGTTACTACGTATTTGTTTGATGACTAGCCTTAATCGAAAGTTTCCTCTCGCTATCGAGAGGGATAATTAACTATAGGGGCTTACACCTATAGGAAACCTGAACTCAGATCATAAAGTTCTTGCAAAATGAGGAGAAATATCTGGGTGATGTCTTAGTTAAATTCTATTTTGTCTTCTGGAAATTTGCCTCAGAACCTACTTGTTAAAACTTCTCCTTTACGACACTAAAAAGAAAGGGGTCGTGGAGAGACTGGTGCGCGAATTTTCAAAGCCCACACTCCAGTTTTTATCTCTTGTAAGAATCAAAATAATTGCTTGAGGGATTAAAAACAAGATAAATATAGGTGTTAATAAGTTCATAGGCTAATTGTGGAGTAGAAAAAACAAGATCAATGGCTCAAGCTTTTTTTGAGGACTTGTCCTAAGTTCACAATGAGATGCTTTCTCATATAAAATGCGAAGAATTGCCACGATAGCTACTTCTATTTTTCTATTATTGTATTCTTCTCTGCACTCAGTTTCTCTTTTTCTTTATATCATGCCTTTTCTCTCCCTGATTTTTTGTACTTAACTCTTCCTACATCTTTTTATGCATACTCATTCCATGATTGTAGGCTTTATGTTTACATAGAAAGGGCAATAGAGTTAGTGAAGTGATGGTTAAACTAATAAAAGAACCACATAGGTTACCAGGATGAGTTGGATTGCCAAGCTAAAGAAATCTATGTGTTTTGAGTTTTGGAAGTAATTTAATTTAATTAATAAATGAAGAAAGCAACGTGTACGAGAATTTTCAGATGAATCATAGACCAATAAATCTTCCTTCTCTCTTTCTTTTTGTTCTCTTTTTGTTTATTATTGGAGGAAGATCTTGAGGTTAAAAATTATTTAAAATGACATGAGGTTATATTGGGATTTATGTACATAACTTAATCAATGATATTTGAGGGCTGGTGTTCAAGAGAAGCACATCATTTATCATTATGCAATGAAGAGATTGAATATGAGTTGTTGTATCTATCAAAGATTAATTCCTATAACACCTCATTATGTGCGACTCATCAGAGCTATCCACATGTTCGAAATTTTGATTTTTTGTTTTGGTTGGTTTGCATACCCTAGCCAGTTTGATTCAAAACATCACCGAAAGATGTCGATCCAATATTAATACATAAATCAGTATTGCCTTGTAGAATGCCATCTAGTTGTAGTCCCAAATTGGTCGTATTGGAGAAGTCCTTCCGAATAGTCCAAAGGCTTTCGACCTGTTTTCATGTCACCACATGATGGTTGGATCACCCTAGATTCATTCCTCAAACTATAGAGTATAGATTATTTTATCTTTCTTTTTTTTGCATTTGCAATTTTTGCCACTCGATCTGGTCGCTTAAGAAGCTCCACCTGGCTACTTCCTATGCGGAGTAACAATATCCAGAATATTCCTTGCAGCATCACAATTTTTCTCTACCATGGACGTCCATTGCTTTCAAGTATCAACTCACTCACTAGTCATCCAGTCATGTAATGGTTGTCACATGACACAGTGGACATAAACCATAATATAGAGCCACTTGAAATTTTCTCTCACATTTGTTTTTTGTTTTTCCTCTTTCTCTGGGTTCAGGGTTGTAAAGACTAAATATTCTCAACAAGCTTCTCATCACTTGGCTCAATTAGGGCTCGGTTCATGATTGTTTAATTAATCAATCAATTAACTTTTCTATATTAGATTGCTTTTGTTCATGAATGAATGATACTTATTTATGTTCGTTAAAATGTTTGTTTATGTAGTAGTTTATTCAATTAAAATCTCATTTTTAAGTTGAACAGGTTGCTTATTAATAGGCTCAATAAAGCTTGTTTAGTTAATTAATAGACTATACAATAATGTTGGTTGTTGATAGGCTCGATAGACCTTATTTGGTTAGCTAACGAGCCGAGCAAAATCCAAGTTCAAACAATCATTATTTTTTTAAAAAAATGAGGTTGAATGCTTCTACAAATACTTGATTTGAGCTCGAGCTTAAGCTCAAATACGGTTTTGGTAAAGAAGCTCAAGCTTGAGCAATCTTCTGCTCAGCTTAACTCAGTTCATTTGTTGCCCTACCTAGGCTTCTATTTCTCTCAACAACTTTATCTCCCTTGCCATCAGAAAGTAAGCTAGCTCAAATGTTGAGCCCTTCTTTCACTTTCATTAAGCCAATCCTACTTATGATCTTTTTTTATGAACCGGACAGGACTTGGACTCAATCTTGTTTATCATTTTCTTTGACGACTTGCTGCCCTTCTCCTTTTCTTCCTCCCTCTCTTTTAAGCTTATTTGCTAAGCATAGATCTGGTGTTCTCATCCATAATGGTTCCATTTGTATTCACCAAAGGCTAGTTGAAGCCCTTTTGTAATTTCTTTTTGACAGGGAATTCCTGTTTCAACTTCATGAACCCAAACCTTGTCATTTCAACATGATAACACTCATAGCTCATTGATACCATGCTTGATAAGATTTTTATTTCTCACTCCAAGTTTGTGTCCGATGTCTCTTGCTCATTATTTTTAATTTAGATGGATGATTGCATTGTGTTTACTTATAATCTTTAATTCAAATGTCGTTATCTGAACGGGCCTATTAGTCTGCTACCAGTTATTTGCCTATATATAAACATACCGTGAATATCACGGTCATCATGCAAATTGGAATTCCGATTTTCCGATAGCTATTGTTTACTATTCTTCTCGTCTGTTGTTGAATTGCATATTGATGTAGTTTACCTCTTGAGTTTTATTTTCCTATGAGCACATAGAATGTGACTTGATTCTTTTTTTTTGGAACTTTCTGCATTGGTACAATGTTTCAAAGAAAACTCTATCACAATAGGTGCAACAGTATTTTCAGATGAACTCAATGAAGATGAAACATAGGCGGTGAAGTGAGTTGAAGCAGAAAAGAGCCAAATTTTGGTTGAATAATTTCAAAACCAATTGATTTGCACCCCTCAGTGCCCTTCTCACTAGCTAACATTGAGATTCTCCGTGGGATTATAACTGGCATTGCCATTTGAATAACTAGAAACAATTAGGTTGCTTGTATCTGAGTTTTGATTTAGTTTATTAATTGTTTGTCAGCCTATATCAACTTTTAACCTTTCTCATCTGAGATTGGCTCAGGAAAAGTTTTAGCAGCTTTCATGCATGAAAAATATCTATTATTCTTATGTAATGTACTAGGAAAAATGCTAGTTGTTTCTAATTGGTATGGCGATTTGCTATCTAATTCTGTTTTTGTTCTACTTTTAAAGGATTCCTATGCTTATGGATTTTTGTTTCCAATTTTTGTAATCCTTCTTCCCTCGTTGTTATTGTCATCAATAAAATTTTTGTACTAGTAACTGGAATGTAATGTGAAGATTACTTGACAAATATCACTAAATATGTTGGAAGTTATCATTAAATGGCTAATTATTTAGCTTATGTGTTGAAAACTTGGAAGGTAAATCATTTCCAGCCAATTTGGTCAGTGGTCATTCTAGTTGTTGTTTATGTTCCATTACATTTTAAGATCCTTCAAAATACCTCAAATCTCCAATTATTGTTGATGCACTTTCTTGGTACTTATGCTGAATTAAATGACATGCTAATGCAGATTGTATTCCTGTATTTATGCAAAATAAAGGTGCAAGTTTAGACCACTTTTCTGAACAAGGATTTTCCAAAAATACTAATAGCGAAGTTATAGGAAAAACTGATTTTGATGGAAAGTCTTTTGATTGGAAGCCTTCTGAACTAGAAGCTAATGATGGCTATGACTGGGGGAATTTTGATGGTGACTATAAGGAATCTGAATCTGTTGGAGCTGGCGGTGAGAATGATAACATTTCCGATGATATTCAGCTTGTTACTGGTCATGAGGATGAATTTGAAACATTTGACTTGAGAATTATACATCGAAAAAACAGGTTAAGAACCCATAATATATTTTTACAATGTGATTAAAATTTTGGTTATGGTGGTTCTAATGTGTTATGCATTTATTGCAGAACCGGCTTTGAAGAAAATAAGGATTTCCAAATTGTATTAAACTCAGTTGTAGCTGGTAGATATTATCTTACCGAGTATCTTGGTTCTGCTGCATTCAGCAAGGTTGTTCAGGCACATGATCTGCATACAGGAACTGATGTGTGCCTTAAAATCATAAAGAATGACAAAGAGTTTTTTGATCAGAGCTTGGATGAAATCAAGCTTCTCAAGTATGTTAATAAAAATGATCCTGCTGATCAGCGCCATTTATTACGTCTGTATGACTACTTTTACTACAAGGTATGAAATTGTTCGAAGTGATGAGTTTTTCATATGCTTTTAATGATTTCTTGCATTTCTTTATTTTGGCATGCTTTATGTGATTGTGTGTAGGAGCGTTGTTAGGTATAGTTGCGGCTGTATTATTATTTTTTAATTGTTGGTTATTTTACTTGAAGCTTTGGGTCTTCCTAGTTTAGATTGTGGTTGAATCCTCAGAAAAATGACTAGGCGGTTAAAATAGAGAAGTCTCTTAGAATATAAAAGGTAAATTTTATAAAACTATAGTTAGCCCAACTATATTGTATTGATTTGAGTGTTGAACAATAAAGAAGTCGTTGATAAATAAGTTAAGTATGACAAAATGAGTATGTTAAGATGAATGCATGATAAAATTAAGTATTGATTGATAAATTATTAAATTAGAGGGATGATAGGAATAGTATCTATTGAAGATAAGATAGTGAAGAATTAATTTGCCTGGTTTGGCAAATTTCAATTAATTAACATTGTCGTTGCCAGGTCCCAAGTCATGAATGAGAAATATAGAGGGTTGCGTTAGGTAGTCGAGAGCCAGCGTAAAACTTGTCGAATAATCATGTCATGAATCCTTTAAAAAAATGTGTTAATGCTAGGGCGTCCCTGGAAGCGACGCGCTGTATGACCTGAATACAGTGACAAGTGTGCAAGGGCCGCTGCACTGGCGCCCGGGTGTAGTGTTAAATAGGCAAGGATTCTCACATCAAGGAAGGATGTGGGCAAAGAAGCTAGTCCATGAAACTAAAATTAGGATAGGAACTTGGAATATAGGCTCCCTTACAAGAAAATTAATGGAATTAATAGATATTATGATTCATAGGAAGATAAATATTATGTGCATTCAAGAAACTAAATGGGTTGGAGATAAGGCTAAGGAAATTGA